CAAAATCTAATCAGTTCTAAGTTAGCCCATTTCTGACCTATCCTGAAAATTTTATGACAATCCGTCTAGAACTTTTTCAGTTTGGCTAAACACATCAAAAACTAAAAAACACACGCCGGTGAAAACATAACCTCCTGCCTAGCCTTGGCGGAGGTAATAAACAGTTGCCAGTTCTTTATGCTGACCTTTCATCTGCTGTGTCACGCAGTAACATTAACAGTGAATCACTTATACCTTACTCCCCTCTCGCGGATAGTATCGCCCACGGCATCAGTTGCACCGTGAAAAGTTAGCCAGGTAAATGGCTAATTTTCAGCCTCAATTTTTTCACCTACCAAAGCACAAAATAAGATTATACGGATATAATACGCGTTTTTTACAGTCACACAAACACACATACACTCACACTAACGGACACGCACACGCGGGTATGGTCGCACGCACGCGTGCGCGTGTATTATAGGCGTACATTCACATTTTGTGCCGCAGGTGGGGGGGGGGTGAAAAAGATTCGGCTGAAATACTGTCATTTGGCAGGCAAATAACTTTTTACCGTGCGACTGATACCGTGGGCAATACCATTCGCGAGAAGGGAGTAATGAATAAGTGATTCACTGTTAATGTTACTGCGTGACACAGCAGATGAAAGGTCAGCATAAAGAACTGGCAACTGTTTATTACCTCCGCCAAGGCTAGGCAGGAGGTTATGTTTTCACTGGCGTGTGTTTGTTGGTTTGTGATGTGTACAGCCTAACTGAAAAAGTTCTAGACGGATTGTCATAAAATTTTCAGGATAGGTCAGAAATGGGCTAACTTAGAACTGATTACATGTATATTGGTGGTGATCCGGATCCAATTAATTAATTAATTAATTAAATTTTCAGGATACGTCAGAAATCGGGTAACTTAGAATTGATTACATTTTGGTCGTCATCCCGATCCAATTAATTATTTAATTCATTCATTCATTAATAAAAATGTTCACAGTGACAGAATTGAGCTGCCTTGGCGGAGGTCTGTGCTCTCCGAGTGGCGCGATCGATAGCGCGTCGAGTCAGCGAGCGGCGAGTCAGCCGCAGGCGACTGAGTCAGCAGCAACCACCAGCGAGCGGCGAGTCAGCAGCCGCCACCAGTGAGGGGCGAGTCAGCAGCAGGCGAGTCAGTCAGCAGCAGCCAGCAGTGAGCGGCGAGCCAGCTCGTAACACATACATGTTACATGCTGGCGGAGGTATGCACTCTCCGTGAGTGCCCTCTGTCTAGTTAAATCTTTATTGCATGTAATTCAACTACAAATTCATGTACTGTCTTTTTCATGGAGAAAAATTTGATAAATGCAATAGTGTTGAGCAGTTAAAATAAAAAAAAATCTGAGTGATACAGTACATTGTGTGATAAATAGTTCTGAGTGATACATGTTACATCAAAGCTGTACATATTGTCACAGAACCGTCCCATGAATCTACGTGAATGACAATATGAAACGACTATTGTGTACATCGGTAATCGGCGAACTATAGCGGCTATTAATCTGCTGTCGGCACTCGTGTAAAACGACTATTTTTACTTTATATATGAATCTAAGGTATATATGATGACTCTAAAAAGCTAACTGAAACTACTTGTCACAGGTTGTCCTTGAAAAAAAACATATGTCATTGAAATGTCCTTGAAGTTGAAAAGTTCTTGAAAAAATAATTCACACTTATGTGGTAACCATGCCCTCTCTCTTCCTCTTTCTCTCTCCCGCTCTCTCTTTCTTTCTCCATGTCTCTCTATTTCTCCCCTCTCCCTCTCTCTCCCTCGCTTTCCCTCTCTTCCCGACTTCAGTGATGGTCCGGAATATTGTTCAATATATGCGTGCTGTATAAATTATTTCGCACAGTAGGTGGCGCGACGAATTCATATAAGACAGTGCCGTATATAGAGCTCTATGTAAGGCTCTGATATAAGACATACGTATAATAAATACACATTTTTGTGCAATATATAATTAAACTTACAATAAATACACCATCATGGTATTACAATTACAGATTATTTAGGATATCTCTTGTTAATTGATCTGCTTTACTTTGGATTACAACTTTTTCGACATAAAAATGTTCAGAAATAACAGGAAAACCATTATTGTTTTTTTAAGGTGCAGCGTATAAATTGTAGGCACGACGTAACATAAATCACTCATTTATCATTTATCATTATTATTATCATTATCATTTATTCATTATCATTTATCATTTATCCTATAATTATCATTTAATATTCATTCGCTCTACTTCGCGCAACGTTCTTACTTGAGATTACACCGTGTCAAAATATGCCCGAATTGAATGTTTTATTGACACATAATAAGATCATAAATATTATACATTTCATAACCACAGTAACTCTTCGGCTGTATATATACCACATGCTTATCCCGAGTATCAATATTATAGATCATTTTAAAGGTTGTTTTTCAAACAAGCTTCAACAGCAGCTATTTTTTCATTATAAAATTTTAAATACATTTTTAAAGTAGACAGCGCTTGCGTGAATTAACGACTACATGAGCATTTCGCATACCGATCACATCGACGTTGTTCCGCACGTCTTTACTTCACCTGTTCGCTTGCAAGAAAAATATTCTGAACTGCTATACAGAGCCTTGTTGTGTGGTATTATCAGGATATTATTATCACAGAGGTACGGCCTGATGCTCCTTGGCTTCAGTGAGTGACCTGGCACTGTGAAAGATGCTCGCGAATCGTACTCCCTGCTGCTCCGCCGCACGCACAAACCCCGTGTTAGCGGTGAGAGTCACTGCCCGCAAGCTGTCTCCAGTACCGAATATCACCTGTGAAGAGTGAGAGAAAGAGCAGAGATGCATGTGTGAATGTGGTGGAGATACAGAATTTATTAATGCGGCCACCAGTGCCGAATATCACCTGCGTGGAGTGAGAGTGATCTGGTAGAGATTCAGAATTTTTGATTGAATGTCACAAGTGCAAAATAACATCTGTGAAGGGTGAGAGAAAGAGAAGATATGCGTGTGAATGTGGTGCGCATACAGAATTTGCGAATATGTGAATTTGTGATTTTTAATATCACCTGCGTAGAGAAAGAGAAGAGATGCGTGTGTGAATGTGGTGGAGATACAGAATTTGTGATTGCAGTCACCAGTGCAAAATAACACCTGCACGGAGAGAGAAAGAGCGCAGCGTAACCCAAGCTGTAGCACTCACTGCAACATGTAAGCTAATAGATAGGGTGCACTCTGACACAACAGCGTGGAGCGAGAGAAATAACAGTGTAACAGCGTTTTTCACTCAGAAATCTCACCTGTGGAAATTCCCCGACGCCAATATGCGACCCTGCCAGCAATTTCTCACGTTACCTCCCCCCAACCCTTCACCCATCTACAAACCAGGCACGTCACGCAACAGAGTGCTTCTGTTTACTGAAGGGTAACAATTACACTACTACGGGTGTTTGCTGCTCACCTTCGATCTAGCATTGATTTTCCCAGAGTCTCGTAGTGCCACAGCCCTCGGTGACGGATTGTCGGCGACTAGCGTGAGCCTAGCCAGCAGGTCGGCTGCACGCTGCTTCTCAGTCGTGCCACCTAGTGTCGTGATGATGTTGTCGAAATCGCGATGGGCTGATTCGCATATGTACAGCTTTCTTCCTGCAAGTAGGGAAGAGGAGAGCTAAAAATAACGAAAGTGTAAATAAAATAGACGCAAACATAATAAGGCTGTCCGTTGATGTAAGAGCGGGTACTGCCTTCAGCCATTCTAAACCTATATGTAGCTATCGCCATGGCAGCCGGTGTCGCGTCTTTGTACAGTGGTCTCGAACGCTATTAACTTTTTTACGCTTAATGGTAAAAAATGGTATACGCACGTCTTTTTTAACATTTTTTCGAGGCCGTATACGCTAGTCTCAGTAAATGTGCAATGCACGTGTCTCTACATGTTGTTACAATAGCTTAACCTACATGCTGCTAGATTAACTTTCCATACACGCTGTTGATATATATAACCCTGCATGTTGTTATATTAGCTTACCCTACATGTTACATTAGCCCATCTTCCCACATGTATCCCTGCGCGTTGCTACACTAGTCTACACCGTCTATTCTCACAGTAGCTCACCCTGCATGTGTTTCTGCATCTCAGGCAGGGCTGGGTGCTCGCGTTCCCTGCTCGCCTGGCCCGCCAGCACCGCCTGCTTGAACACATAGCGGCATCCCCCGTTCGTCAGCGATGACGTGTATGCGACCAGCGCCGTGATGTCCAGATTAATGGCGTGGACGATGTCCATGCTGGAGGCCGTCACTGGGAGAGCGGGGACGTTGTCAATGCAGGGGGCGGTGGCTGGGGAAGTGGGGGTGTTGTCAAGGGAGTCGCGCGTCGTGCCTGGAATAGCACTGACGTTGTCAGGACAAGGGGCGGTGTCTGGGGGAGCGTGGACGTTGTCAAAGCAGGAGGCGGTGCCTGGAAAAGCACTAGCGTTGTCAATGTAGGGGACGGTGTCTGGGTCAGCGTGGACATGGTCCAGGCAAGCAGCGGTGTCTGGGTCAGCGTGGACATGGTCCAGGCAAACAGCAGTGTCTGGGTCAGCGTGGACATGGTCCAGGCAAGCAGCGGTGTCTGGGTCAGCGTGGACATGGTCCAGGCAAACAGCGGTGTCTGGGTCAGCGTGGACATGGTCCAGGCAAGCAGCGGTGTCTGGATCAGCGTGGACATGGTCCAGGCAAGCAGCGGTATCAGGGTGAGCGTGGACATGGTCCAGGCAAGCAGCGGTGTCTGGGTCAGCGTGGACATGGTCCAGGCAAACAGCGGTGTCTGGGTCAGCGTGGACATCATCCAGACAAGCACTACTACGCGTGTGACTCTCGGAGGTAAGAATCGTACGAGATACAACAACAGTCGGCTGCCGCACATCCGTGACTGTTGCCGGAGGTCGAAGCACCGCGTCTCCCACACAAATCTGATAGTCGTCTCTACGCGGATTGAACCCGCGCGTCTCTTCACATGCCGAATAACCACTCTCTTCCTCCGGCGCGACCGCGGCCCGTCCCTCCCCGCCAGTTCGCCTCTCGTCATCACACACCAGCAGCAGACGATCACGTATCCGTCCGCACGATGGCAGCACCTCCGACGTCAAGTCGCACGGGGTCGTGCCCGCCTCGTCTGAGGCCGCGTCGCGCGGTGGTGCCACGGTTGCGGGTGCAGCCTCGTTCTCGCGCGGCAGCACGTCGCCGCGAACGTCGACGCGCATGCGCATTAGGTGATCGGCCATCTCCCGCGTCACGCCGCCGAAGAAACGGAAGGCGACCGACGGCGGTCGGTAAAAGACGGGGTGGTCGGCGGCGGCTGTGACGTAGTCGCGCGCCTGGTCGACGATCGTCTTCTCTCCATAGCCACCCTCGCCTGCAGCACAGGTAACCATGGTTACGACCCACACTTTCGTTTGCAACACAGGTAACCATGGTTACGATCTACACCCTCGTTTGCACTAAAGGTAACCATGGTTACGACCCACACCCTCGCCTGCAGCACAGGTAACCATGGTTACGACCCATACCCTCAACTGCAGCGAATGTAACCATGGTTACGACCCGCACCCTCAACTGCAGCACAGGTAACCATGGTTACGACCCACACCCTCAACTGCAGCACAGGTAACTATGGTTACGACCCAAACCCTCAACTGCAGCACAGGTAACCATGGTTACGACCCACACCCTCAACTGCAGCACAGGTAACTATGGTTACGACCCAAACCCTCAACTGCAGCACAGGTAACCATGGTTACGACCCACACCCTCAACTGCAGCACAGGTAACTATGGTTACGACCCAAACCCTCAACTGCAGCACAGGTAACCATGGTTACGACCCACACCCTCAACTGCAGCACAGGTAACTATGGTTACGACCCAAACCCTCAACTGCAGCACAGGTAACCATGGTTACGACC